GAGGGAGGCGTCCGGGAGGCATGTGATGTAAATGCCCAAGCCACCTCAGCTGACTCCTCTCGATGTGGAGGAGCAGCGGCTCTACTTCGAGCTCCTCTCGTGTGACAGAGCTCCTCACCCTATCTCTAAGGGAGCGCTCTGCCACCCTGCGGAGAAAGCTCATTTCAGCCGCTATCCCGGATCTCGTTCTTTCAGTCACGACCCAGACCGATACAGCGACCGCATTACTGCGGCTGCTGCACCGATCCGCCTGTCAATCTCACACTCCATCCTACCCTCACTCGTGAACAACACGTGGCTCCCGAACTAGACCCCACCCGACACCTGGCTCTGCCTAGAAATTCTGTCCATAGCAATAATGAACAGAACCGGTGACAAAGGTCAGCCCTGCCGTAGTCCAACATGCACCGTGAACAGGTCCGACTTACCGCGATGCTGGAGAGACGTGTCAACCAAGACAGCCCCACAACATGCAGAGACTTGAGGTACTCAGGGCGGATCTCATCCACCCCCGGCGCCTTTCCACCGAGCAGCTTTTTGACTGCCTCGGTGACCTCAGCGCAGGAGATGGGAGGATCAGCTGCTGAGTCCTCAGCCTCAGCTCCCTCCACGGAAGGCGTATCAGCGGGATTGAGGAGATCCTCGAAATATTTCTTCCACCTCCTGACGACATCCTCTGTCGAGGTCAACAGCTCCCCCCCCTCGCTGTAAACAGCAATGGTGGGAAACTGCTTCCCCTTGGATGGTTTGCTGGAATTTTTTCGAGGCCGACTGGTAGTCCTCCTCCATGGCCTCCCCGAACTTTTCCCAGACCCAAGTTTTTGCTTCCGCAACAACCTGAGCCACAGTCCGCTTGGCCTGTCTGTACCCGTTGGCTGCTTCAGGAGTCCCACGAACCAACCAGGCTCGGTAGGACTCCTTCTTAAGCTTGACGACTTACCTCCGGTGTCCACCACCAACGACAGGCACCGGAGACCTTGTGGCCGCAGCTTCGGACAGCCGCGCCAACAATGGAAGTGGAGAACATAGTCCACTCAGACTCAATGTCTCC